TATACCATAATAATATAGTTACAACATTCTAATAGTACCTACTCTCTGCAGTATAAAAATCATTATAYAAGTACATTTTTAAAGAATTTTTACTGGTGAACAATTCATTTTTTTTTTCAAAATTAATAATCAATAAATTATAGTATATAATAGAATTATTTCATGCTCACCCCCAAAATATTTAAAAAATAAATCTTAATGCTAGAAGTAAATGGTAAAAACTAATAAAAAGCGATATAATTTATCTAAAAGAAAAGGCAATTAAAAGGAAAATACTTATTATGTACAAATATTATAAAATCTAATTATTAACATACATTGTGTATTATTTATATTAATAATACTTCTCTTACCATGTTAATTACATAAATTAAAAATATATTACAAAATTATGTATAAACTAAATATATAGTATTATGTATGCTATTTTTCAAAAAACTTCTTAATGAATTAACTATTTAAATAAGTTTCTTGGTCTGGAAGATAATATTATGACGTATAATTTATATAATTTATACACGTACAACAGTTTACACGCGARTACGCGACAGTATTATAATATTATAGTAAATTATTAATTATTATATAGATGTTATATTATATTGTTACCACCAAACCACGATATATGTATATGATAGCGATTTAGACGTACTGTGTATGTAATGTATTTATAATATATAGTAATTCGTACAATATAATATTTATAAACAAATACGAAAATAATTGACTTGTAGCATGCGCGCACAACCACGGTCACAGGTAGTCTATTGTGTCCACACACGCGACCTATGAACGTGACGTGTGTTTGACGGATATCGTAATTTGGTGTGTATAATATAACATTTATATACGCACCACGCGTATAATTTCACTACAATATACTTCAATCGAGTATATATTATGATAATATAAATTATTGAAGTGTGTAAAAATTGTTCTGAGGCAGCGTATATAATATTTAAACGTCAGACAAAACGTAACAGATTGTATCTATACGTTTACATATTATATAGGCATATAGCACCAAAATTCCACCGACCGCGGATAGCCTCTTCCTAAAGCCAAAATCTACAAGTCTTTTTGTCACATACCATAGGTACCCTTCCACTTATATTGTACAATATATGTATGTCTAATGATTGTGTAATGATGAAAATCAGAAAGAAAAAAATCCAAAAAAATGAAATACAATATTATGTTTATARCAATTATTATAATATATATTATTATAAATATCGAATAAGGCGGCCACACGCGAAAGTTACTATACCTATTATCATGTCTAACATAAACGCACACGCCATATAAAGGTTACGAGATAATTATTTTATCGGTTTACTTTGGTTCGCACTAACTTCTAGGTTGGGGTAGGTTATCGAGAATAGGTATTTAATAACGACTCAATTACCAGATAAATTTCTCAACTTTTCAAAGACGCGGTCCTTGGTTGATTTTCAATAAGTATTTATATAAATATTGAAATTATAACAGTCAAATAATTGTCGACCTATGTGCTACGTCTAGGAAGAAGATTTCAATTTTTAGTTGATAACCATTAACCATCCGRAATAATACGACGTGAAACATTAATGTTGTTAAATATTTAGTCCTCATGTGTGCAAAATGAATTAACTGAGATTTTGTTTATGTGTATGCCAATATAATATAATCTTAAATGTTTGTCTTTTAATCTTTTTTTGTCATCATTATTTGCCCGCAAATCAATTGTATCAATTTATCGCGATATTCGTAACATTTTCTGTTTTGTTCTCGCCACCTTCGTACGCTTTTCCTGTACAATTGTCCAAAAACATTAAACGTTTTACACAACACAATTTTCTTTTTTACAATTTCTCACACCAGTCATACAATACCATACTCATTATTATTATACGCGTATTGTTTATTTCGTCTTACGCGTACTTACACTCTTTTGGATCGTAAACGCGACAGAAAGTTTTATCCWGATGAGAGTCTTCTATAATTTTTCAATTTCGTTGGGTACTTTTTAATGGGGAAAAAAATATACTAAATTAGTTCCCGCAACAACAAAAATAAATACGGCCTTATTGTTTTGAAATGCAACCATGTTGATCCGCAAACATTAATTTTTTTCAAGAACAATAAGAGGGTTAATTATGTTTTCTATACCCCTTAACAGTCTCTTTCTTCTTTTCCGGGCGCTTCAGAAGTTTACCAATTTAATGTAGAGATAATACAATGAGTCTTTGTAGACTACTTGCGTTTACCTGGYATTATAATTTCATTTTTTCAAAATAGTAATTGCCATTTTTATACAAACATAAAAGTATACTTGAAAACCACGATAAAAATATTTCATTCTTCACYGCTGTGTAAAATATAAGTTTTTAACAAAAATATATACAATACTGGTGTGTGTGAAAAAATCATGAAATACGTAACGCTTTCGTAAATGCGAATGAACATTTTAAACTTTTTCATTTCTTAAACAACTGCAGAAAATCGCTTTCAACTCTCCAATATGGCAATGTATTGTCCGATCTATAATGTAATGACAAGGTATTAATATCGAACGATAAATATATCAAAGTACAACAATGTGAACAATGATAAGTTATTAAAAAAAAGTTACGTTTCGTTTTGTTTTTACGAACAATACATAATAATTAATCCTATACACAAATGGAGTGTATACTATAAAATACGTTATAGTCTGTGCGCATCTTTCTCGAACATTATTAATACTTAATTGAATAGCTCTTTAGTAAAACGTATATATTAAGGTATATTAGTAAATATTATTAAACAACGCTGTTTGCTCATTATTTAACGTTAGTGTATAAAATGCGTACTGCATTAGTAATAATAATAATAAATACAAATACATTGTTTGTATTCACCGCCTCGTTACGACTAAATCAATACTTACTTAATTTTGTTTGCTAATTATTTTTATTTGTTTGCCATAGACAGACTTAATATACATTATAGTTACGTWAAGTAAAAAAAACTTCAACTACCTATAAAGCGATTAATAAATATTAATTATTAATTATTGTACATTTATACGGGTACTTATTATATTATTATGGTAATAATCATGTTACTGCCCGAAAATAATTAAATGCGCTTCGTATTTTATTCTCAACAATTTTTGTCACATGCGATATTATTTTTATTTTATAAAATATAATATCATGACGTATAGTCGAGTAGTATAATTTGTTTGCACAAAGGCACTCGTGGTCTCCTATTATTATAATTATTATATTATTATTGTGAGCTGTTCACGCCCGAGTCCTATAGCTAGGTGGTAAATCTTTTTCGTGGACGACAATCGCAAAAATTAAATTTAACGCGCCGAGGGAAACAGAAAAAACCACACTTCCGGTGCGCGTCCGGTTGTTTATGTTTTTCGAAATCGTACAACAACAGCTGCTGCGCTTGTAATTAAGAGAAATCCACACACAGCGGCTACTTCTATTATACGACTACAACTATTATACTACACTATATAGCACTATTTCCAAAGTGGTCTCTATTACTGAAACTACTATTATATTATATCCTCATATACATGACATGTATATACATACATACTACCACAGCGGATCTTTCGAATTGAAGTTTTCCAAAACTTGCTGCTCACGAACTTTAGACGCATAAAAAAAAAAATACGCGTGTGCTTAAATGCACTTAATTATATATATATATATATATATTAATACCGCTAAACACAGACCGTGTAGCGTGTGTGTGTGCTTGCGATCTCTGAGAGGAGGGGGTTCGGACGGTGCTTCGCTTGGACCACACACACACACATACATGATATAGTTTATACTATTTAGGTAGTATACCATCACAAACACATTGCATTTACGGTCATTAAAACACATTCGTACCATCATGTGTACGTAAATATATATATTATATATATATAGATAGATTATATATTATATAACATACTATTTGTAGTAAAATAGTACTGCTGTTATATACTGCAGCTAATGACCGTCACTACTACCGCTATTGCAGCTCTTCCTTTTATGTAGGTACTCGCCAATATATTATATTAGAATGTATATAATATAATAATAGTCTAAACACACACACATAATATAGGCATATAATATCATATATATTTACGATCGAGTTTGATCTCTATTCAGAATAATAATATTCACACACGCAAGCGAGGGTTACTGAAACAACACTCTGCTGCACTGCCTATAATATATGGGATAATAATATCTGGGTCACAATCTCGACGATACGCGCGGATCGGCTTCCGGTGATAGCCGATAATTATCATCGCGTATTATTATACGTACACGCTGGTCGTCGTCGCCCGTTAATAGATTTCTCCGCGGTCGTTTCCGCTCGCCACGACCGGACATTATTGCTCCAACGTGCGTATTGCTATTATATTACTATCATTATTGTTATGCGTATCTAAATGTGTACTGTAAGTAGGTATAGGTGCATAGTAAAACACATGCATGTTATAATATCGTAATTCCGATCGGCAGGAATTCCCACCCGCACATGTCGCGCTCTGCTTTATATTATATTATTGTAACAACGCGCTTRCATTACAATTATTACTATAACAATGTTATTATATTATTATTATGTATCTATCGTGTCTTCTACCTACGCGCATGACCTACCTACGTCGTCGAATACGAATTAAAAAGTAAATAAACTGGAGCAGCGCACGAGGCTAACCGCAGGGGTAGATAACGACGAACAATGCGCGTTGAATAAAATGTAATACAGAGCCGCTATGGACATTTTATAATATTATAACATTGTTGTTGTATGACATTATATCGTAATGTATAGTGCAGGTATGCATGGTGTAGGGACCAAAACAATTGTATCTAATCTGGAGTACGCTAGTTTTTCGAATCGAATTCAATTCTTTCTTGGGGTTTTTTTTTTTTTGTTCATTTAGCCCAAAAATGTAGTTACGTTGTACAATGGCCTCCTAATCTTCATCAGTCGGTGAACGGACATTCAAATCGACGGGTGACTTCTCACTGTAATACCACTCTGCGCACATTCTTTTCCATATATACATACTATTATTAATAATAGASAGTACGTGTCGAAGATATCATAATAATACACATACCTGAAGTAGAAATCGTGATGACTCGAACGAACTACCTGGTCGTCTGTGTTATGTTCATCGCAGCATCGCCACTGCTGACGCCGCCGGTAAGACACGCACTCACAACCCCCAGAAAAACGATTTATTTCACCCTCTTTATTATTATTATAGACGTTTTTTTTTTTTTATTAACATCATTATATTGTTACTTATATCCATTCAGCTGCGCGGGGACTATAATATAATATAATAATGGCAGTACGTTGTGTGCCTTTGAATGAATATTATGTACAACCTTCGGAGAAATTCCACAAAAGACGGTTAGGTACATCAACAGGTATAATCGTCCCATTATTATTATTATTATATTACATAGGTGGTATAAGCATACATTTTATTAYCCCCCCCCCTCAAAAAAAGATTTCCAATACACTTGAATATTTTCATAATATACTGTACGACGCATAATATATCAATATAATATTATAAGTTACAACAGACACAATCATTTATAACTGAACAAAAACGAATAAGCATCCAGCCTAACCAATATTTTCGTTTTCATACATTCGGACATTATTCGTAAGGAATACAATACAAACTCGTTATTTAAAATTTTCTTTTATACATTTATTTGCAGTTAACACAAATACCACGAATTTAAATTTACAGCACAATATTGCTACAGCCTAAAGCACAATAAAAATATGATCAATCATTCGGGCTTCTGAAATGAGAAAGGTTACTAAAGAATTGTGATTTTTCTTTTTACATTATAATTCAGTGTGATTCCTACTTGAATTTAATGTCCACAACTTTCACGAAATATTATCGGTATATCGTACATTACAATATTACTACTAATATACCTATACAATCCACCAGGAAYGAATCTTGACACATCCTAAGAATGGGGGGAGGGGGAGGGGTTTTTTTTACTAGTTAATGCTAGTACCGTCTGTACTCAGTAAATGCTGAAATTCTTAATTTAATTAATTCTTAAATTTATTTTATTTTATACTAAACACGTTGTGTACATCCTAGGATATACAAATTGACGTAGTAAAAGCTGCAGATTAATACACGACACATAACATTAAAGCGATAAGATGCGTGCAAATTATAATTATATATTATTAAAACAAACTACTGACAGTTATTTAAATTTTTATACAAAATAAAAATGCATTTAAAAACAGAATCATTATTTATTTGTTCATAAAAATTAGTAAAATTGGTGGATAGTAAGAAATAATTACTTACATTTTTATTATTTTAAATTTGTATTTTATTTGCACWTATTKTAGTATTATGTCATTTTAAATGCATTTTTATTTTGTATAAAAATGTATATGACTGTCAGTAGTTTGCTTTAATATTATATAATTATTATCATTTGTACGCAGCTTATCGCTTAAATGTTATGTGTCGTGTATTGATCAGCTTTTACTAAGTCAATTTGTATATCCTAGGATAAGTARGATGTACACGTTGTGGGTAGTAAAAGTCCGAAAAAAATTAAGAATTTCAGCATTTATACTGAGTACAAACAGTAAAATCTAGAATTAACTACCTAGTAAAACCTAGGKTTCCCTAGTGAGATCGGGCATTAACGGTGACATTTATATGAAAAGTAGTTTGATGTGCAACACAGTTCATACTTATTTATTAAGAAATCTATTATTATATGCGACCCATCATTCACCCGCCCCGCTAAACCGCCAATGCACTCTACGACTCAGACATGTACTGTGGTTATTACAGTATAGTTGAACAAAAACAATATAGTCGAATGCATAGTTTTAAAAACATTTTTAAAAGAAAATAAATTTGAATATGCGTCAAATAACTTTCCAAAAAATAAAAAATAA